GCGCTCGACACCTCTCAGTTTTTGTGGAGGTTAATAAAAGCCTAACAGTATGTGTGTTTGTGTTTGTTGAATTTCTCTCTCTGATCAAATTCATTTACGCAATAAACTGTGGCAGTTAATGCCATTACAAATATCAATATGATGTAACAGAAGAATAATGTACACATATGATTTGCATATGGCAAATATATTATTTTAATGAAATAATTTGCATTCTTTATACTAGGCCTTCTTGTATGACTGGTTATTTAAAAAATGTAATTGAGTAAGTCCGAATAAAAACTTACTGGTAAAGTAAGATCTGGGGATTCGAACATTCCTACACACAAAATGAACAGAAAGTGAGGTTTCGTTTGTCATTGGTCACATGATTTCTACATTAACAACACAAGCCTCGAATCGAGGCTTCATCTGGCACGCCCATTTATTCTCGACACGAGCTCCGATTTCTCGGTTCAAATGTTACATCACTATTGAGAACCACTGCTAGATCATGTATCACTTTATAATAATTTAGTGTTAAATGATTGATTGCTTAACAGACCATTCAAATATGAGCTCTGCTGTCAATAAGTTAATATGCTGAAACGATTGCCATACCAGTATGTTTAGGAAACCAGAAAGAATTTAACACAAGGCAGTTGTGAACTGTTATGACCAGGGGTGTCCAAACCTGTTCCTGCAGGGCCACTGTCCTGCAGAGTTAGACCTTAACCAGCTAATCAAGGTCTCACTAGAAACTTCCACGCAAGTGTGCTGGAGCTGGTTAGAGCTAAACTCTGCAGGATGTTGGCCCTCCAGGACATCACCATTATGACAGTAAGTAAATAATATCAGGAAATAATAATAAAATAAAATATGACACCACAATGAAACAACTATTTACTGTTACTATTGTAAAATAATAATAATAATTTAAAAAAAAAAATTTAATGAATGATTTCAATTAGTCCAGAATATGCTCCAGAAATGTATGTGTGCCATGCATAAATGTAAACCTATCAAAGTCTCTACAACAGGGCTGGGTAACTCTAACCTTCGAGATCCACTTTTCTGAAGAACTACAACCCTGATCGTACTCAACTGCCTGTAGTTTTCTAGTAGTCCTGAAGGCCTTGGTTATCTTGTTCAGGTGAGTTTGATATGGGTTAGAGCTAAACTCTGCATGACAGTGGAACCCAAAGGAAATATAGACTCATAAGACAAGCGGTGTGGAGAATTGTGGTTTAGGAGATAATGTACAACTGGAAAAAACTCAGCAACACTATCTAAACACAATCTAAACAAAAATGGTGCTAAATAGCACTAAAAGTGGTGCACTGGCTTGTAATCAGGGGAACCACTTTAAGTGCTATAGGACCTATCTTTAAAAGTGCTAAACAGCACCTTTGTCAAACGGTGTTATGTAAAATGGTAGGAACACCATTCTCCTCCTGAGATTTTAGATATGTTACTCCACTCTCATATGTTTGCTATGAATATGAATTTACTACAATGTTTTGAATCACTTTTACGCTTTTCTGATGTCAAAAAGTCATGTGTGGGGGCCCTGGAATATTTCCTTATTGGGGGGCCTTTGTGGCAAAAAGCTTGAGAACCACATTATCTTCAGGAAATACACTGTATTTTAATGTTTTTTTTTTTTATCCTTTCCCCAAGACCCCAACTAAACTAAGAGACTTGGTTATACAGAGTTATACAGGAGCTCTTTGTATGGCACTGGTGGTATAGCACCTCAACCACTCCAAAGAACCGCTGAAAAACCATCTGGGCTTAACAGGTTCTTTATACTGGAGCGGTGCTATATATAGCACCTCAACCACCACTTCAGCATTGCTGAACAGCCACAACTTTTGTGTGTGTCTGTCTGTGTATAGGCAAAGACTATAGAATACCCAATTTTGAATGGGGAAAAATGCAACGCTCAATATGGCTGCTCAATCGCAGGAAGCCCCGCCTTCTGAATTAAAGAGCCAATTGCTAATCTGTAAAGTCAGCGCATCACTGCAGCTGCCGTTAGAAGCGTCCCGGTTGCTATAGAAACAGTCAGCGTTCGTCTGAGACATGCGCTTAGCACTGGCTGATCTAGACTGAAAAAAAATAAGCTGTTTAAAAAGCTATTTGAGCAAAAAAAAAACTTGTTGTCAGATTTCATTGGTGATTTCAAATATGAAATTTAATCGTACTTTGTAGCTAGATTTAGTGACTCCTCCGCCCCTTTTGAGACTTTTTTCAAAAGTTTAGGGACAAATATAGCAACTTCTTGGACAAACCTTATCTAAGTTCTCATCTTGCCCACTGATCTACGTTCATCTTTATATAGATCAGTGAATTTGCCATTGTGATGTCATCTAGTTACATTTAGCTACCAGTTTTAGCTACTTTCAATTGAAAGCAGTTGGCAACACTGGACTTGCCGTAAAGGGACTTTGGTATTAATGCAGCTGCATTTTAGACTATCAAACACTAGAGGGCGCACTACATCTGCTGAAACCACTTGTGGATGTGTAGCTACATTACCAAGTTAGTGTAAGATATTTTTAGATATAACCAGCTGGGGCAAGAGTGCACGGGATAGTAGGTAGGAAGGAACTAGAGCTACCTGGATGATGTAATGGGTTAAGACGAAAAAAAAATCAACAAAGGCAGGATCATCGTTATCTACTCCTTCTCTTTCACTCTGCGCGTGCACGGTAACCAATGGATTGGTAATGAGCAAGGGTTTTGGATCTTCCGATGGCATCCAGTAAAGATACTTTTTTTATTTTGTTTGTTTGTTTGCTTTTAACAGTTAAAAAACCAAGCTTTTAGAGTAACATTGTGTAACATGGTAATATTTTGGACATCTCCACCTAGACAAGTGACTTGAGGCTTTTTTGTCCAGATCCATGTGTTTAATCCTAAATACTTAAAACATATATACAAATGACTTGAATATACATCTTTTATGATGAGTTTGTTTGAATTGAAATTCATTTTGATATGTGGGGGGCACAAGTAAAAAAATATCATAGTGAAGAAAAAAGGCTTAACATTTCAAAGAATTACAAAACTACAAAACTATTTATTATTATTTATACTTTATTATTATTATTACTACTACTATTTATTAAATATTGTCTGAGGAATCGAAGTCACTTGGTGCAACCAACATGCAGAATAAAAACATAAAACAAGAAATTATATCATAGAGAGGACCACTGGGGACCCACATGACTGTGTATCAAGGTCAATAAGACTAAAATATCAGATAATTCAACCTTTTAATGACAAGGCAAGGTTAGTTCAGGTTTTAAAATGTCATGTGGTGTGATTCCCCAAAATTGCATACATTAATGATGCTTATAAATTAATCATTTATAATATTTCTAAGAAATCTTACAATGCTATATTAGTGCTGGGCGGTATACCGGTTCATACCGAATACCGGTGTTTATTTTTGTTATGACGGTGTATGTTGCTTAAACAACGTTCGGAACGCGACACTGTTTGAAAGGGGTCCGTTTTTCACTGTTGCACTGTGGTGAGGGAACAGCTGTATGTGTTACTACGCGTGAAAGTTCCGAAACTGAAGCTGTAGAACTAATAGAACGTGATGACACAGAAGAACTCATCCACAATATCCACATTGACCGCCACAAATATCCACTGCCCCCTGCCATGAGCTCCCACGTCTCACACACACATGAGCGCGACTTTAGCACTAGATTGAGCAACTTTCAGACCCTTTTAGCGGCTTTTTTCCATAGAATATTCATACTGACAAACCTAGCGACTTTTTTGGATAAACCTTAGCTATGGTTCAGTTGGAAGATTTCGCTAGTGCTGTCCCGCGAACGCGAGGTCTGACTTTCCCGGAGAAGTGTCACCTCTCTCGGCGTCTGTTCTGTGCAGTGAGCGGCAGAGAAGCCGACTCGTCAATAAATTAGTACAAAACAGAGTTTCCTAGCACCTGTTGCTTACTGATTGTTTGGCATTATAAATATGAGCGTAGTTTGTCTGTTAATATCACATGCACTTTTTATTTTTTTTGTTACTCAGACGCAGGCAGTGTGCTGCATGAGACAAAAAAGTAATATAGTTAAAATAGCCGCTCTTTGGTGTAGATGCATGTTGATTTTATCAGACGATGCCGCGATTATAAATGAGAGTGACTCCTGGTTAACATTAAAAGGGGTCGTGTTTAGTCACTATTTAGTGTGGTATT